TGGAGAAATAGGCGCGAAAAATATAGGTCCGAAAAGTCGCTAAAGCGGGAACCTTTAATTTATATCTATTTAATTCTTCGTGCTTTGGCTCTGTTGGCCGATTTAAAAAACATCATATTTATATTCTTAATATTGAAAGTCGAAAAAAAATTTCTTTCTGATCTTATTTGTCTTTAAAAATTTTTTTTCGTTTTTTGCCCGTAATTTCTTGATAGAAAAAGGTAGATAGTTAGAAAAGAACACTCGATCTGAATACGTCTAATCAAAGTTAAGGAAAGAAATACCAGAGGCACGGGAAGACTCTATTCGGTTCCTCCAAGTCCCACTTAAGATAAAGCGAAGTGCACTTTACAGCGAGAGAATCTGACACTTTTCTCCGCGAATAGCTCTCCCAGATCTCAAATTATACTCCGATAAGGAGCACTTGCGACTAATGAAAAAATTGCTTCCAGATTGCGATCGTTGCTCCACGACCGTTTACCGTTTTCCGTCACATAATTTTCACGGCTGCGAGGTCGCATATATTGACAATGAAAAAGCGTGAAAACTTCCCCACGGAGCCATTAAATTTGCAAACGGTGCACGAGCTTTCCTTCGGTAAAGCGAATTAAACCTATCGCGTACGCTATTGTAATTTCATTATTTTCTTATTAAGTCTTTTCCGATAATCGTTTTCCGAATTAAGAGATCAAGAGATCATTTCTCATACACTTGTAAATTCCCAGCACGCATAATCCTTCCTTCCTTCCTTCCGATGATCTCGACGGCGATTATTCATTATTAATTGCCGCGCGAAAAGTGTGTCTTGCATATGCTCGTAAAGTGTTCCAGCGGTTCTAGCGCGAAAGTGGTTCACGGCCGGTTCTCTCACGACGGGTATCATTACGAGCTTTTACGCGCTCGTAAAGACAGGAATGGAGTAACGGAGGTGTAGAGCGAGAAGGAGCGCGGCTTGGCTCGGCTCGGCGTAATAGGGGTAACAGGAAGGCATATGGGATATTGCAAATTTGCGAGTGGCATTACCGGAGAGAAAGCATTTATAGGCGCGTGGAGAAGGCGCTGAAGTGAAATATGAGGCGGCACCAACCCGACCGCGAGAACTTCTATCTCGGTGAAATCCAAGCTTAACGCGTTAATAAGCGATGCCGGCTCGTCAACGTCCCTCGTGATTGGAAGATATGCGTAGTATATATCGTGCTTATATCCTGAGACGCGATGTAATATTTCCGAAGGAGTTTCATTAAAAAGCAACAAAATGTATCATATTTTACGAAATAATAAGTATTTGCATTTCTATCGGGGCAAGTCGGAAAAATAATATATATATATATATATATTGAAAACGTTGAAAAACTGTGTTGCCGTAATGAGAAAAATTAAAGAGGGTCGAGGGTTAATTGAACTGTTGATCGGAAACGCTAACGAGATACTTTTTAAATCGATTTTACGAAACTTTGGCTCGTCGGGTTTAAACAAAAGGCTATTTGAAGACAAGCGAGCGCGATGATAAAGATGTTTTACGATCGAGTTTGAAACATAATTTTTTAACGAAAAAATTGACAAAAAATAACAGAGAAGAAGGAAGGAGAGGGTGTGTGCGTATACGAGAGAGGAAGAGGGAAAAAGCGAGCGACGCCCTACCGCGCGGTACTTTAACAAGAAAAATACCTGCAGTCGTCGAGCAATTTTATTTACAATGGTTAAACGAAATCTTGAAAGAATGTAAGCGGCGGGACTCGTAAATCGCATCGCGGAATCTATTGTACCTTGACTTAGAAAAATAAACCCCGTTACATCACCGTCGGGCGCATCGGATACGCGCGACTGTATAACTCGAATGGGAATAAGCGAGGTAAAATGAGGTAACGTTTTGCATTCTCTCCGCTTCTTCACAATGAAGGAGCATATTTTTCAAATACAAAAACCGTAGAAAAAAGTCAGCCAATTAATTAGTACGCGCGCGAGAAAGAGAGAGAGAGAGAGGAGACGTTAATGGCGACTATTAGCCGGGAAGTTAGCGCGCGCGCGCGCGCGCGTCTGAAAAGCAAGCGAGCAAATACAATCGTCGAGAAAGACGTCGCGCGAAAGCCGCCGGGTGAGACGGTAAAGTGAATGTAAATACGGCAGGCGCGGCTTAAGCCGTCGCCGGATGTCCCGGGAAACGGAAATATTTGCGGATGTGGCTTTGGTGCCGCGCGAAAGTTTGGTATTCATTTAAATGGCGATACTCGCGCGAGTTTCTCGACTACGGTAATCAGTTTAAACGCGATTCTGTCGACATTAGTTCGCCTTGTATATTTGTCGTGAAATTCGCGTTAATTAAAAAACAATTTTTCAACGAAAGATTGGCAAATTGGCGAGAAAAAATACAGAGGAACGAAAAGAAGGGAAAGAGAAGAGAAACCCTTTGACAAGAAAAATACCCGCAATCGTGTCTGGCAATCTCGAAAGCTTGCGGAGACTCGCGTTTAATTGCTAGCTAATGACAATCCGCATCTAATTCTTTAGATAGGAGTTTCTCACGGTAATCTTATGTAAAAGCGTGGTAATTATTCCGATAATACTTGAACGACGCGATAAGGTGCAAAACTTTTTTCCTTAAAAGAAGAATATGTATATTTTTCGCAGATGCGTAAGACAGATATAATACTAATAAATAATTCATTTTTAAATATAATTATTTTTAGTTTTACGATAATGCTCGCTTTTATGTCAACCTTTTATCGTTGGATGGAAAAATTCAAAGTTGCTTTTCATCGCTAATTAAAATTAAACAGCACTGTCGTGTATATATATATATATATATATATACTTTGCTGACTAAGAACGAAAAGCGCAATGGGACTTGTAAGTTTGTCGTAAACGTATAAGAATCCTTTAAATTGCCTTACGATTGTCGTACAAGCTCGCTGATCCGATTATATGAGGCGAAGTCGTGAAATTTATCGGTTATCGCTTCACCAAGTCCCGAGATAGTTATCGGTTCGATGTAAGAGAGCATCGTTCTCCGCGATCGTTTCCTTTTGCGCGCTAATTCTATATAAAGAAGATGTATAGAATAAATGCGAAAGAAGGAGGACGATGGTGTTAACTGTAAGAGAAAACTTGCGCGAGAACCTGATCCGCGGCGTTATTTATCAACGACAGCGATATTCGGTTAACGAAACGACGATTACAAAACGGAAAGGAAGATTTGACGTATCCAGATGTTGTATCCGTTGTGTAAACGCGCTTACTTCTCCCTCTTATTTCTCTCCCGGATGATGAGTAATTACGCCGCACGAAGAAAAGTACAACGTTTTCTCTCCTTCTTTTTTTCCAGAAGAAGGACGATCCTCCTCTTCGCGCAAGCAGGTGTGTATAGTCGTTACTCTTTAGGATCATTTGTTCAGCCGTTGCGTTAAGGGTCAGGGCTAAGAATGATAAACGAGCCCCTCGTTCCTTCTCCGGGTGTATCTTCCTCCACCGAGATCACTTTCGAGGGGAAGTATAACGGGGCTTCTTCATACCCTGTAGGAAGGGTAAAGAGAAATAGGACGGTCCCTTCCATCGTCTTAATGCAGGCGAAATTTCGAGGGACAACTCCTTTTAAGCTCGAGGAGAGCTTAAAGGGGAAAATTCGCGAGGTCACGTCGCGTCGCTCGCGGGACGATTTAAATCAATTCGCGTCCGCGTAAGATAAATTCCCGGACTGACGTTTAAGCGATCGCGAAAGTTTTTCATAGCGCGCCGCGGTACCTACGTGCGATATGGCGTGGTACGAAAAGTTTGCTCCTTAAACGATCCGATACGGTCGGCAAACTTCTTTCCGCGCTCGAGGAGAATGATTAAATCGGGTGCCGCATCGCGAATGATATACGTTCGCGCCGACCGTACGTGCGTTCGATTCGATCGGCGGGTAATTACTTACGTAAACTCAGGAGCGAGCTGCTCCACGTCGCTCTGGACTCTCTCTCTCTCTCTCTCTCTCTCTCTCTCTTTGCTATCATCACGAAGGCGAGAGAAAAAGTTGAAGGGCGTCGTTATCGAATTTAAGTTTGCTCGGTATAATTTCGCGGAAAGCTTTATCTCTGCGCGGGGGAGGGGGAGGGGGTAGAAAAGCTTAGCCCGACATCGGTATCAACCAATCCCAGGTGTTCAATTGGCGCTCCGCCAGAATTTAAGCTCGGCTTAAATTTTGCGCAGTCGCTGCTCTACCACTACTATAGTATAGGTAGTGCACCACTACCAGCACACTCCTATTACGGTAACTGGGGCAGATTCGGATTAGAATTAACTAATTGTTGCGTACACCATCCTAATTAGGCGAAATTCCCGCATGCTCCACGCACGCTAATATTTGATGGGAACCGCGGGATATCCGTGCGAGAGGAAGTTCGATCTATTTCCGCGGCACAGACATGCAATCGCGATGTCTTATAATCGATGGCGTGTTATTGTGGTAATAATCGGGAGAGAATCGCGTAATTTAGCGCTGTGAATAAAAGAAAATGATAATAAGAATATTAAGTCGGCTCCCTTAATTTTAAAAACACGATCTACACTTTCTTCATCTCGGCCAATAGAGCCACACGCGATGTTATTGCGACAATTAAGAAAGAAAGAAAATTTGGAGACTGAGGAATTTGTATCCTACGATTGGGATCTCAGAAATTTTCCTTGTTCCTCTCTTAACTTCCTCTGTAAAGAAATAGGAGAGAAAAATATTGGTATTTGGCTGAATCGGGAAGATCGGGCTGAATTCGGTTGACTTTCGGACCAATATTTTTCTCTCCTATTTCTTTACAGGGGAAGTTAAGATAGGAACAAGATGAATTTCTGAGATCCCAATCATAGGATACAAATTCCTTAGTTTCCAAATTTTCTTTCTTTCCTAATTGTCGCAATAACATCGCGTGTGGCTCTATTGGCCGAGATGAAGGAAGTGTATAGATCGTGTTTTTAAAAGAAAATGATTTTTTTCAAGCCGCGACGAACCGATTACATCGAAATGGACTTACCGATTACATTTAAATGGACTAGATGACTCATGTGGGGCGTCGTGGAGACCTGGCACTCGTAAATACCGCTGTCCCGATGCTGCGGATATTTGATCTGGAGTGTCCAGTCGTCCGAATGGGCAGTGTGGATCGCGCGAAATCGCTGGTCGTTCGTGTACGTGTAACGGCCAATTGTGAGCAAATGGACGTCTCTGTGTCGGACCCACGATACTTGTAGCGTCATCTGCAAAGAGAAATGAGCTCGGAATTAGGGCACAAGCGTAAGAAAAAACAGGGAGAAGGAAAATCACGAATGATGAGTTCCTATATACGAACTCTCCTCTTGAATCTTTCGTGCCCGGTTAAGGGTTATTCATTATTACGCCGGGACATGTAATTAGTGGCTCGTTTGTGTCTGGCGTGTCCGTAATTAGTAAAATATCGGCCAGGACTTTTAATCACGCTCCCAGACCGGAAGATCTCGACGCGCAATGTCGGCGTTTATCATCCAATTCAAGTTTTCTTCTTGATAAACAAGCGCGCGTATAATAGAGATACGAGGAAACAGATGTGATGTTTCTCGATTCATATAACTCGTGAAAATTTCTCGTATCAAATACGCCGCATCCTGCTCTTCGCGAGATAAAATAATCGATTAACGTGAACAAACACGTGGCTTTTATACAAAAATTAAATTAATATTCGCGAAAAAATGAGAACAAACACGAGAACCGAATAATTCGCGCTCGTTCATTCGAGAGCAGATTATACTTTTTTTTTGCGCTGTTGAACCGCATCTTTTAGCATTTGTAAGGCGAAGAAAAAGATTCGCGCAGATTGATATCCGACGTCGACGATTTCTCAGCAACGGGTATACCCGCGCAATAGAATAAATTACAAACAAGATCTAAATTCGGAGCAAGGTGGGATATACGACGCCGCATCAGATACAACTTTCGCGCTTCTTCCTCTCCTCTACGTACGGGAGGAATTGATAGAGTCGCTTTGCATATCGTTGCGAAGTTGGCGTGCGAGATAAAGCGCTTCGTGCCATGATAATTGGACACCCGTGAGCGGCGACGTGTAAATATTTGTATCCTTCGAGCGGGGTCGATACGCATCGCTCGAAAGATACGAAGCTGCGCAGCACATGTGGCAATAATATATGTAACGCAGGTCAGATTGCATCCTCCATACGTTTGTTACGTTTTGTAACGCCGAACAAATTGAATGTCGCGACGCCAATCAAAAGCTAAGTTCTGCATCGATAAGGTCGGAGGATAAATTGAAGCTCGGAATTATATTAAACACGAGCGAGCAAACTTGGGACAGAATTAGAATTAATCGAGTTTGCCGCGATACTCCCATCTCCTTGTATTAACGTTCCAACTCGAAACAAATATCGATGTACGCGAGGTCGCGCCGTCTTTCCGCGCTTTTCAATTTTAATGCCCGTTTCAATTCCCGTCTTTCATTAAGAACGCCACCGCCCGGGAATCCCCGGGGAACCGGGTATACATATATAACCTATCCCACCGCCATCCGGGATCCTTATCCAACTCGCCTCGTAGTTTCCAAAAGCTGACCCGGACGGCGGTCCTGCCGGACGAATACGAGTTGCCGCGGAAGTTTCGGCGACCCGAAGATGTGTCCCGTTGTTCGAGAAACTTGCGCGGCGATATCCCGAGCAGATAAGGGGCGGACGGCCCTTTAAGCCAGATAAGGACGTCTTCCTGACGTCCCCTCGACGACGAAAGGGCTCCCGAGTACGAAGTAAGTGGATACGTCTGAGTTTGGTCGGACAAGAGAGACTCTGCTTTCATACCGTCTTCGTTTTATCGCGCCGGTTATGTTTTTTCTTTAATTTATGGTACGTGACGCAGACGCCATAGAAACTATCATGGAACTAGAAGGTTCTCTATCCTCAGTGGTTGCCGGGGTTTGCGGACCGTATATAGCGGATCCAGGACACCGGCGCATCCTGGTTTCCGACACCGAGCTGCATAGCTAGCTAGCTAGCTTTTGCATACCGATTCCGCTGTCGCCGTACGATTTATGTGAAATCCCTTTCTCCTAGAAACTCGCCGAATGTAGATGGACATGGATTTATATTCTGCCCTCTGATAAAAATCTACCGCGAAGGACAGAACGTTATATTGAGAGGAGGATAATGTACCATGTGTAATATATTTTATTTATTTTGCATGAAACTTTGCAATATTTTAATTAAAACGAAATTGTAATGATTAAAGAAAACACGATTGTATACGAAAAAAAAAAAAAAAAAAAAAAAAACTAATATCGCGCATTTCACGTACACGCAGCTGAACGATAAATATTAACGTCATTCTTTTCGTGCAATAAAGCGGTAGTGTGTCAATTAACTCGCGGAAGTTACGTTCGCTTCTCGTCATAAATAAATGAAACGACATTATTTTCCGGAATGAACAGCCACACTGTATGACGAAGAATCGATCAATCCGCCGACGCGCGTTTCGTCGCGATGCGATGTTATGTTACTCGACGTTTGAGTTATTGGAATCGACGTCGGGCGAGATTAGCACGTTAGCGCCTCGCTACGGCTCGAATCAAATATCGCGTACGAGTTTCTCCAACGACGGAAAATTTTCGATGAGCTTTACGTCGCGGCGGGCTTGATCGAATTACCGATTAATTATCCGACGTAAACAAATCCCGCGCGTAAGAAGATTCTGACCCAATTTCGCGCCGGGATGGGATCCGTGGCACGGAAAGGCGGAAAGTAAATTATTCTCTCTCTCTCTCTCCTCCTCTTTATTTCATCATGACGTTGCAGCGAGAAATCCGAGAAATCAGAGAACGCATTCGACTCGCGATATGATATGCTCTATTGAGAAATACAAATCGTTACCCATTACATGAGGCCTCCGGCACGATGTTACTCCGGATATAGCGGGATCCGATCATTAATTCGTCGGATTGATTTGTCACAGTTACGCGAACGATTCTAATAATTATTATTTCCGAGCAATCGGCGAGCGATATTTGCATGACATATTTTTTTCATTATTTTATTTTTTAATTTTAGATATCCGACAGACCATTTCAAATAAATACGTATATATCGCGGAGAAATTTTTTCAGGTACTATTTTTTTTATTAGTGATTTGAAAAACTTTTAATTGTAAGAATCTAGCGAATCTGGGTCTCTAAAAATGGAATATTTTTTAATATCGTGTAAACATTTTTATTTAAATAAACAGACAAATAATGTTTTAACTCGTTGAAAAATATTTATTTTTAATAATGAAAACAAAATTGCAAAACATATTGAAACAGGAGAACAATAATGGTGTTCTAAATAATCGTTCGTGTATGGTATAGTCAAAATTCATTTTCGATAAATTATTTAAAATAAAAAAATAGACATTTTTTAATTTTTTCTCTTGCAATTGTTTATTTCGATCAAATTCTCGTTGCAATGGGAGATTGTTGGATTTAAACGATGCCAACAAAGTGTTGAACTGAAAATACATTTGTTATAATGTGATCGACCGAAAGGAAACGTGCAATTACACGATAAATTCGATATTATGCCTTATTTCACCGGATAGAGCCAGAGATATTTGCTTTCACAATCAAATGACAAATATATGTACCGCCACATCACTCGATTCTGATCTAAAGATGAGAAAATGAGATTTAACGATTAAAGATTAATCATTTTACGAAAAATATGTTTTTGACGTGTTTTCATATGATATGGAAGATTATCAGTCTAATTATTTTATACGCGTGATAGACATTATTACGAATATATTAAACATCAGTAAAAAAGTAGTAAAATTAGATGTAACGAGATAGTTTGGATCTCGAATATATTGGTTGTTTATTTATTTTCGACTAATTAGTATTCTCTATCTTTTTTCCTCTTCTCTCTCTCTTACTTTTTTAATAATTCCTGATAGTCATTTGTCAAATTGTTCTTCGTCCCTTTCGAAATGTTACGTTTAAAGTGTAATCTGATTAATGAATACATTTGAAATATATATCAATGAAAAATTGCTTTTCTATCAAATACATTAATCAAAAAAATTACTTTTGTATCAAATGTCACATAAATACCGTGTTTACATATTTTATCGGATCACGCGATGTGTAATGTTATTCACGCGCGGACGACGCAGTTTGTCGATTCGCATTCGTCGTTGATTTTCAGGTTTATCTTGAGACACTCATCCCGAGGGTCAACGCGGGAACGAATAATCTATCTATCCTACGGGATTATGCGTCCATACCCACGCAATTTCTTCCCGACAATCTACATTCACGTCGTCCGATTGAACCGTCCACGAGGCCATTTTTATCTCTCGACGACTTGACGCCCTTTGTAGAGAACATTTCTACCTCTGTACCTCGGACAAAAGTGTCCCAAAGATCTTATTGTCCTATCACGTTACGAGCGATTACGAACGACGGCGAAAACCTGCTTATTGCTCGCTTTTATCGTACGTTGCTCGCTACTTTTTTCTCTTATTTTTTTTCTCTCTCAAGTCATCTTTTAATAAATTTATTTCTTTTATTCTATTATTTCTTAATAATAATTTATCCTTTAACAAATTCTTTTTTAATAATTTATCTTCCTAGAAATTGTTTTTTTTTCGCTAATATTCTTCAGCCTAAAAAGGCACCATAAAAATAATGTAAATAATTGCATAAGGGGAGATTGCGAAAATGGACACGATACAAATTAATAATTTGATATCGTGAAATTGTGCAGCGATAATTAATCCTCAGTTACCACTCATTCTTGGCCACCCTATTTTACCACTCATGTGTTAGAGTAACCCAGAGTCTTCTTTTGTTTATATTTCTGGATCTAATGAAGCTATTTTGAAGTATTTTTTTTTCAATCGATACACCAGACAGTAAGAAAAAAGCATATATCGGTACAAATGTCACCAGATTTCTACGACTCGAGATATTTGAGAAAAAATAAAAAGTGATTTTCTAAAATTTCGAAAAAATCATTTTTGACATGGGTTAACGTAACCCAGAGATGTAACTGAGGGTTAAATAATTAATTTTATCCAAAAGGAATGACCCAGATCACATCCCAGATGAAATACTCGTCGAAACGCGACGGGAGACACAATAATCACGCGGGAAAAACACGCGGACGTTATGTACCTAAGGGACGGAATACGCGCGTGCATATATTAGCGCGTCTCCCTCGTATATGTATATATTTTTTCGCCGGTTTAC